CGCGGGCGGCGCCGCAGCTGCAGACGCTGCTGCTGTCCGGGAACTGCCTGCGCGCCCTGCCCGGGGGGCTGCTGCCCGCCGGCGCCTCCGGCCTCCTCCCCCTGCTCAGCCAGCTGGAGGCGGCTGACAACGGGCTGCAGGAGCTGGACACGGGCATCGCCGGCCTGCCCGCCCTGAAGGTCCGCACGGGGTATGGGAGGCTGGGTGGGGGTGGGACCCCACTGGGAGCGGGAAGGGCAGGGGAGTGAAGGGATACTGCTCTGAGCGCACAGAAACCGGGCCGTGGGTGTCAGCGCTTCCCTGTGCCGCAAGTCGCGGGGGACCCACGGTTACAGGAGCTCCGGCGCTGGTTCCTCTTTCTTCGTGGGCCGAATGTTTTTTGTGTCCCTGAGTGCTCTGCGAGCTGCAGCTTTCAAAGAAGCGACCGGTGCCACTGTCAGCTCTGCCTGGGGTGGGAGCTGAGTTGCTGCTCTTCTGTGGCAGAAATATTTTTTTGCAATAAGAGGGAGCGGGGGGAGGGAAGAGGTTACGTGTTGATGAAGTGGAGCGCCTGGACTGCTTTGGTGGATGTGGGCTGAAGTAACTAATTTCTCTCCTTTTGGAATGAAACAACAGATTTAAATGCAGGCAGTTTTATTTTGTTTCATACAGTCCAATTCACCTCAATGCTGAGGCCGGCGGTTCTCAACCCGGGGGCCGTAGCACCCTGGGGTACCTTGAGATCCTTTCAAGGGTGCCACAGGCTGCTACACAGTGTTAGCACTTGTTAGGTGTGGAAACATGACTCACAAGATAAAGCCCAAATATATCAAACTGTTTTTAATGCTACAAATTCCTGTTTGACCTGTTCTGGTCTCTTTGAATTGTTTGCAACAGAAGCATTGCTCTCATATTTTTTTGGTAGTCAAAAAATGAATGAAAAGTAAGAGCTGGCATTTTCCAAGGGGTTTCCTTGAGTCTAAAAACATTAAGAACTGCTGACTTAGACCATCCCATTCATGTGGCCTCTAATTAGTTGCATTACCAACTTGTCCCAGGGCTGGGATGATACGCCCAACCCTTTAAAAATGGTAAAGCTAATTTTGTAAACTTTTTTTTTTCTCCCTCAGACCCTGGATGTTTCCAATAACCAGTTAACTGAAATCCCTGTTGAGCTTGCTGACTGTCCTAAGTTAAAGGAGATCAACTTCAAAGGGAACAAACTGAAAGACAAGCGCCTGGAGAAAATGGTTAATGGCTGCCAGACAAAATCGATCCTGGAGTATTTGCGGGTTGGAGGCCGAGGAGGTGGCAAAGGAAAGGGAAAGCAAGACAATGTGGATAAAGAGGAAGGCCGGAAAAAAAAGAGAGAGAGACGTCAGAAGAAGGATAGTGGTGATGGGGAGCAGGATGAACTGGAAGAAGTGAATAAACTATTGATCAAGGTTCTACATATTTCTGAAAATCCAGCTCCATTGGTAATTAAAGCGAGTCCAAATATCAAAGAAGTTCGGCCGTTCATCGTATGCTGTGTGGTGAAGGGCATGAACTTGAAGCCAGGAAATGCCTTGAAGAGATTTCTTTCTGCACAGGTAATTCTTGAGAGGTTATTTTAGAACTTTGAGTGAATGCGTTTCATAGCTTTCATAGATTTCAGGGTTGGAAGGGACCTGTTAGATCATCAAGTCTGACCCCCTGCCCTGGGCAGGAAAGAGTGCTGGGGTCAGATGACTCCAGCCAGGTGTTTGTCCAATCTTCTCTTAAATACCTCCAAGGAAGGGGACAGCACCACTCCCTTGGAAGCATATTCCATATTTTGGCAATCCTCTCTGTAAAGAATTTTTTCCTGATGTCCAATATAAATTCGCTCTCCTTCTGTCTGTGGCCATTGTTTCTAGTTACCCTGATGGGCGCCCTGGTAAACATTGTATCCCCTATTTCCCGCTGTCCCTTCCCGATGAGTTTGTAGACAGCCACAAGATCACTTTTGAGCCTTCTCTTGTGGAGACTGAAGAGATTCAGGTCCCTCAATCGGTTCTCGTAGGGTTTTTCCTGTAGGCCTTTAACCAGACGAGTGGCCCTCCTCTGAACCCTTTCCAGATTAGCTACATCCCTCCTGAACTGCAGCACCCAAAACTGGACACAGTACTCCAGCTGCGGCCTGACCAGTGCCGCATGGAGGGGAAGTATCACCTCCCTAGACCTGTTTGTGATGCACCTACTTATGCAAGAAAGAGTGCGGTTAGCTTTACTTATTACTTCATCACATTGACGACTCATGTTCATCTTGGAGTCAACTACAACTCCAAGATCCCTTTCCCCACTTGTGCTACATAGAGTGGTGCCTCCCAAGTTATAGGAGTGTTGATGATTCTTCCTCCCCAGGTGCAATACATGGCACTTATCTTTGTTACACTGCATCCTATTCTGTTCCACCCACTTCCCCAGCCTATCCAAATCTGCCTGGATTTGCTCCCTGCCTCCTAGTTTGTTTACCTCACCCCATAGTTTGGTCATCTGCCAGCTTGGACAGGGTGCTTTCTACTCCCTCATCCAAGTCACTAATGAAGATACTGAACAGTACCGGTCCCAGGACAGAGCCTTGGGGGACTCCGCTGCCCACATTCCTCCAGGTGGAAACTGACCTGTCCACCACCACTCTCAGGGTGCGTTCCATAAGCCAATTTTCCACCCACTGGACTGTGTAATAATCTACATTGCAACTGTTTAGTTTATGTATAAGAATTGGGTGTGGCAGTGTCAAAGGCCTTTTTAAAATCTAAGTAAATAACATCTGTGATCATTTGAAATAAGGCTGAAATAAACAGAAACAGTCTGGTTTTGGTTATGGACCTTATTGCAGACAGCATAAGGTGACTATAATCACAGCAAGCTTAAATTTAGTGTGCTCTTCTCTCTGATTTCTTCCCAGTTTGTGGCATCACAAAACTTATATCAGATCACTTGAAACTTTCTGCATAAAAAATGACAGTAGTTCACTCAGTACAGGGGGAGGGTGTATACTTAATGTCTTTGTATACTTACCTGGTTAAAAGGTCATTGTAGCTTTGTCTGTACCTTATTTATGAGAAATGAATAAGTACAGGATCATGTTAAAATCAGAGATGTCTGAGACCTCTTGGATTACCTTTTCGCTCAGATCAAGTGTAGTTCCTGTTTTTCCTTTTTGTTTCTAGGCTGTCAGTTTTCCACAGCTTATGAAATGGTTTTCCAGTCTAATTTTCAACTAGAAAATTGTTGGCTTTCAGCTAGTTAAAGCACACTAAACCTTTGCACTCTCTTCAAACTAGAAGGTGGTGTGCTTCCATTTAAAAAAAAATAGTATATTCATCATCTTGTCCACTAGATGGCAGGTGCTAGCTTTAGTTAATTTGGGCTGTGCTGTTTATTTCCTAATGGGGAAATGGTTAGTTAGTAAAGATCACCTAAAGTGTCTTCTGTTTATTCACATGCTTTAATTTTGGTCTCACAGATTTAAATTTACTTCTACAAATGCATGGCATCATAAAGGATTAGGCGTTAACAAATGCATTTGGGGCAGAGTCATGTTTTCACTTCATGTGCCCAAGTAGCATTTACCCAACTACTGCTTGTGACAGTTAAGCAGTTTGTGATCCTATTCCATATGCAGCTTGGAAATGCAAGCGCTCACATGAGTACTGAGCATGAGTAGTAAGCTGTGCAGTGGCCTGGCAGGTGTGTGCCTCCAGCCCTGCCTAAGTCCCTAAATTGTAGCCAGACTAAAACCCGCAAGTAGTGGGTGTTGCAGGAGCAGGGAGGCTGCCCTGCAAGTGATTAGGGCGCTGGCTCAGAAAGCAAGGGTCCAAGGTTCCAGGCCTCTGTTGCCCAGAGGATGTTTGGACCTACCTGTGTTCTTCTTCCCAGCACAGTGCTCTCTGCCCACCATGGTACAAGTTAGGCATTATCCAGAGCAACTGCATCTTGCATTCAATAGTCATTAGATATAGTGGACAGCAGGTAATGAGGAAGTTTACATAATGTGCAATACAGCTGTTGGATTTCTTGTCATCCCTATTTTTATGGAATCACTGTAAAAATGGAACTACCCTTTCATTCTCTGCATTATAAATGGCTAGTGAGTATTTCCATTGTCATAGGAACAACAGTGATTTTGCTAACAGTTAAAGACAGCAGTTTCTTCCAGCCCTATCCAAAACAAGGGAAAACAGAGGTTTACCAAATGGAATAGCATAACATTGGTTTGAGGGGAACATGTTTTTACACTAAGGGACTGTTAAGTTCAGTGGAGAGTTATCTGGAAGTTGGTACAATGTAAGACTCGGTGTCCTTCGTGTGTTTTGGTAATGTTTTTAAATTTTGCCAGACCAAACTCCATGAGGACATATGTGAAAAACGAACAGCAGCCACCATTGCCACACATGACCTGCAGCTGATCAAAGGGCCTCTGCTTTATGATGCTCAGCCACCTAATGACCTGAAGGTAGGATAAATAGCAGCGTCTTTTCCGTTGGGAACTGGACAGTAATGGGAGGAAGTGGTTTTAAACACTTGGAGAAATGAGAGAGAATTTAACTGGAACCAGGAATAGAATTCGGAGACTGTGCTGACGTTCCACACCCTGACAGTTCCTACCTATCCCAGGCCCAGAAGACTGATGCTTACCATTGTGTGCATGGATCAGGTGACCTCATTTAAGGTGCATTTAGAATTTCACCCCTGCTCGTAGGGTAACTTAAACTTCTTGTTGGGAAAGCAGTCCAAAACTTTCTTTTCCATAAAAAGTATTCTGATCTTGCTTGCTGTCCACCTCTGCCTAGGGTGACAGAGGTCTTGGTGTTTCCCTGTAAACAGTTGCACTGCTCGTCCTTTCACCTCTGTTGTGCTGTTGCCATCTCAGTGTTCACTGGAGAGCCATAAAATGTTAGGATGTAGCTGGAGTGTGGTGCAGTATACAAGGTGTTCATTCACTTGAATGTATGTGGAGCGATCAGCAGCAGTCTACAAGGTAATCCAACCAATCCAGGCTCTGTTATAACATCCAGTCTTTCCTCTGTATCTGTTTTCATGACTGCTTTCCAGTGATAAAATGACTTGCAGCACAGTAATATGACACGGGCATAGCTAAGTTTACCATGTAACCTGCAAGCCAGGTTACAAAGCACTGCTTTAACTTTTAAATTGGGGAACTCTCTTTGTGTGCAAATCTCCCTTGTTGGTGCATGTCATTTAATCTGTTAGATTCCTTGTTGTTCTAATGAAAGAATTAAGGAGCCTGAATATTGTAAAGATAGAAAACAGCTCTGAGCTGTTGCTGTATCCCACCTTCCAGAGCTGTTTGTGTTGTTTGGCACTTCTCCATTCATGTTCTCAACTGAGCAGGGACCATACCTCATGTTCAGGGCAGTAGGGACAGGAGTTCATACAGGAATCGACCAAGCGTGACTTCTGTAGGGAAGCATTAGTTGTTCTCATCACTCAACACATGACAGTAACAAGGAGATGGGTTAAGGAAATTGTTTACACCAATCTTTGGAATGACCAATCAGTTTGTTTTTAAATTGGATACCAAGCCAGTCATTGCACAGGAAGCCTTCATCCCTAGAGACCTGCAGTTGAATGTGAGCACAGTCATTCAGGTTAGATTCCCAGACTGAATAGAACTGGGGAAGTTGATACTTCTTGAATAACAAGTAATAGGAAACTATTCAGTGCAAGCAGTCATACCCTTTAAAAGCTCTAGCAGAATATCACCTATTTTGTTACTTGGGCTAGAATTTAAAAAATTATGCTCCTTTTCCAGGATGTTGCAATGTCCAGTCAGCTAATCTGGAGGTACAACTCTCTACAGAGAGTTTGAATGTAGAGCTAGACTCTTAATGGTCTTGAAATAAGTTCTTCTTAAAAAAAACAATTAAATAATAACATTACGTCCTTTGAGTGCTATAGTATGTAGTGAAAATTGCAATGGAAAGATCTGGTTCGTTTTTTCTCTGGTTTTTAGTTCTGTCTTGCTAAATGTGGGCAAACCAGCATTCTGGCAAAACAGTCTAATGCTGGAAAAAAGGTTTGTCAATCAGTGCCTTTTAAAATGGCTATTCTTGGTCTTTCAGCTCTTGGGAAAGACTGAACTTTGTGCATCTCTCGCTATTATTAGTAGTCAATGTTTGCACAGGGAGAGGGGTTAATTTGTCATGTCACCTCTACACTGAGAGACTGATGAAACTTACAGTGCACTGACACCTTCCACATTTTCTAAGTGTAAATTGGGAACCCCGAAATGTGAGTTACAGGTTTAGTGAGACTTGGAACATCCAGAAACCTAGCTCATGCCTTCACCTGTGTCAAACCCTGGGATACAGCTGAGTTTAATAAGGCTTTTTTCAGTCTCTGATAGTGCCGGACTGAATTCCATTTCCAACTAACAAGGAATTTTTTTCATACATCAGCTTCAGCAAAGGTACAAGAAGACTTCTACACTTGCCTCTTTCTTAAATAGTCTGAGGCAATAGAAAAGTCCTTAGGCAATACCATGGCTCAGAGAGAACAGTCTTGGCCACACACTTTATTCCTAACTGTGTCCCTTGTTTAAACAATTCCAAGATACACACAACATAAAGTACATGCCATAATTAATATGAATGACCCTGTGGTGTGGCAGCACAAACAAGAATCCTGGAAGGCAGTCTATAAGCATGCTAGAGCAGTGGGAATGTTTTTTCAGGAGAATAAAATATGCTTGGATGTTTCACAAGATCCACTCTTGTCTAGTTCCAAGGAATGTGTTTGAAATTGGTCGGAAGAAATTTTTAATTAAACATGAAGCTATAATTTCATTTTTTTCCCCCTCTGCCTCTTATAAATTAGTTCAAATAGTCCTGACAAAGTAGACTTTTAGCCCATACTTACGTACTTTCTCTTCATCATGTAGATAATCCCACTGGGTCGGAAGGAGATCAAGGCAAAGGATCTTGTCCGACAGTTGCAGTTAGAAGCTGAGGAACAGAGAAAACAAAAGAAGCGTCAAAACATCTCTGGATTGCACAAGTCAGTGTACTGTTCCACCTCCCTCTTTTATTCCCCTTGTGTATCAGGTGCATTTTGGCAAATTTAAAACTACAAAAAAAAAGTAACATCATTGCAAAGAACATTGTATATGCGCTTTTAAGTTATGAAATGCAGTATCTGATGGTAACAAGGCTAAGATGAGCCCCACATGAGCACTTGAGAGCCTCAGTACAAGAGGAATAGTGACAAGAAGGTATCAAACAGCAATACTGAGTGAAATGTGGTAGCTGAGTGACAACTTTAACTCCACCTAAATCAAGAGTTACCATATTTACCTGAATCCAAGATGATGTTTTTTTCCCCATTCAAGATGGGGAAAATAGCCCCTCATCTTGGTTTTTGAGTGGGGGGAAGGGAGGAGCAATCAGGTAGCTTCTGTACCTCCAGCTCCAGCCCTGACCCAAGCTCAGAGTCAGAGCTGCAGCTGCTGTCCTACCCAATGCCACGTCTGCTGCCCTCTCCCTGCCCCCCTATTTGCCGCTCTGGTCCTGCTCTGGCCCTGGCCCAGAGCACATGCTGGCTATAGCCTCAGTGCAGCCAGAAAGTAGCAGTGGCTCCAGACCCAGTTCTGGCTTTAATCCTGGCGCTGGAGCTCTTGCCATTGCAGTTGCTTCTGCCTGGCCAGGCAGGGGGCTGGCAGTTCTATACTGTGGGGGCTTGGGCTGGAGCTAGATCTACCACTGGGGCTAAATTGTGCAGGGGCTGGCAAGTGGTGCAAGGGAGCAGACACTGGGAAAGGGGGGCAGATGCCAGGAGGCCAGGTGTGAGGAGGCAGTGTTACCACACCTGTGGTGCTAAAGGATCACTAAAGCATAATCAACCCAGAATGAACCTAAAATATACAACACACCAATCAGCTCAATCAGTTCCAGCCTGCAAGGGGCTGGGGGGAGTGGGAAGAGGACAGTCAGGCAGGGGGTGCCGTGTGCAAGTACACTTGCACATGCTCACC